GGACACCTCCAAGCCTTGTGATCCCAGCTTCATTCTACCCACTTTTGCCATTGCAGCGTTGTGATGTGCTTTCACTACCCTTTATCCCAAATCAGATTCCACTATATTTAGTTTATATGTACGAATCCCTAATGGTTATTAGTATTATATAAGGCCAGATAGTGAATACAAGTCTTCGGTTCCTTGTAGTCTGCCGACCACAGTATTCAAGGTTTGTAAAAATATGATTATCTTATTGTCGGATTTGTCTTGTCCATTTCTGAGCAGGTCATCGAGTATGTCATTTTTGTTTAGATCGTCATCGAGTATGTCATTTTGTGTGAATTTAGATCGTCTTCGAGTATGCCATTTTTTTTAGGGAAAATTTAAAAAATACCTTCTCATAATCACTTATTCTCTTCATAAATTTTTACTTATTATATCATAACTTGAAATTTCTTTATCACTTATCCTCTAACTTGATTTTTCATCCAAAAAATAATTAAGGGCGGTATTGAATTAGGATTTTGAAAGATTTTTTTGAAATAAAAAACTTATACATTTAAAAAGAATATTTAGAATTAGACGGACTTTAAAAACTTTTTTAAAAGACATTTTTTAGAATCAAGATTTCATAAGATTGGATTTTAAAGGATTTTAATAGAATTTATAAGATTTGAAAGGATAATATGGATTTATAAAATTTTAAAAAATCATATGAATTTTAAACAAACATTCAAAATTACAAGAGTCAATAAGAAAATAACAAAGAAATGCAATGATATTAATAAAAAAAAGTAAAACCTAATATAATTTTCTCAATCAATGAAACATAATATAATTTTTAACAATAACTCTTCACATATTTAAAATTATACTAGTCCTTCATGCATTAACATTTTTTCATTCATGCTCTTGAGTTTAACTAATGATTAAAGATTATATTCTTCATTTGATATCAGAGCTACATATATCTGATTATAAGATCCAATTTTTATTTATTTATTAAAATAAGTCTAGGGTTCCTTCTATTCTGCCAATCACAGTATTCAAGGTTAATTTGTAAACTATGATTATCAAGTCTTCGGTTCCTTGTAGTCTGCCGACTACACTATTCTAGGTTTGTAAAACTAGGGTTGTTCATTTACAAAAAAAAAAAAAAAAAAAAAAAATTAGGGTTGTTCACGGTCTGGATTGGATCAGTTCTGGAAGCAAAAATTATCTCATCCAATACTTTCGGTTTGATCGTATAATCATCTATTTGATTTGGATATTTTTTCAAATCCGATCCGATTCAATCCAATTTTTTTCGGTTTGGATTGGATCGGTTTTCAGTTTTTTGAAAATCCTAAAATTTGTTTCATGATTATTGTGAAAATAATATCTTTTGTATATATTGACTTTGTAAGTTTTTTTTTGAAATACAAAAGCATCAGTAAACGATAATATATTTTTCTTTGGGGCAATGAGAGATAGAGCTTTACACAGATGAAATTTTGTTGATGAGATGTGATTAGGTTTTTTCTTGAGTGTAGTTGATGAGTTAACATGTCTTGAGTTTAGAAATTTTTGAGCTATGATTGGGAAAAAGTTCAAGTAAGTAGAGAAAAATTAATATATTGGATCGGTTTGGATTGGATATGTTTTCATCAACCCCTCCGAAAATCGATCCAATCCAATTAAAATTTGCGATTTTTTTTCAGTTTTTGTTTTTTCGGTTTTCGGTTTATTCGGTTATCGGTTTTTTGGTTCGGTCACCGCGGTTTGAATCGGTTTGGATTTGTTGATGAACACCCTTATGTAAAACTATGATTATCTTGTTATCAAAAAAAAAAAAAAACTATGATTATCTTAAGGGAAAAATATTTGTCCTTTTAAATGACACAATTTATATCATTTTACTCTCTCAAAGAGGTGGGACCCACATCTTTATCTCTTTTTTTGTCCACTCTCTCTCCCCCCCCTTTTTCTATCTCTTTCTCTCACTTAAAATGCAGTATTATTAAATCCGACCCGGGCATCGACCCGATCGGGGTACTGGGTCACTGGTCGGACCGGTTGACCCGAATATATATAGATATGTAAAGAAATATATAAATATGAACATATAAATTCAATTATATTTTTCATATCTAAAATGAATTAAACAAGGTTCACTAAATAAGCTAAAAACATGAAGCATAAATAAATAAAAATGCACGCTATTACTATGTCAATTTAAATTGCAACTCAGAATCCCCATAAAGATACCTATCAATGACATTGAACTTATGTTTTTTAAATTCAACTACATTAAAATAACATATGTCACGTTCTCTTAATTTATTATTCCGCAAATTGCTTCAGTATTGGAAACTGAAATTTGATGTCATTGTAGAAGAGTATACTAGCAAATAAAATTATAAAAAGTTTTTACCATGAGTTCTACATTTTTTTTTCTAATAAGATGAAACAATTTGGATTTTTTGATTTTTTTAAAAGAATGCATGACCCGACCAAGTCACCAGGTCTCCGGTTTTGACTGGGTTTGACCGATTTTGTCCGGCTTTTGACCGGGTCGATGTTTGACTAGTCCAATGCTTTGACCCGAACCGGTCCAATAATCAGGTTACTGGGTTCCGGGTCGGACTGAGTTTTACAACAATGTTAAAATGACACAACAGTACACTTTGCCCTTATCATATTGTCAGATTTGTCTTGTTTATTTCTGAATAGGTCATAGGTTTAATATTTTGTGTGAATTTAGATCGTCGTCGAGTATGTTATTTCTTTTTAGGGAAAGTTTAAAAAACACCTTCTCACAATCACTTATTCTCTTCATAAATTTTTGATTATTATATATCCTAAGAAATTTCTTTATCACTTATGCTCTAACTTGATTTTCCATCGAAAAACTAAAGTTAATAGAGATAATTTTTAAAAAAATATCAAAGTTACCCTTAAAAACAAAAAAATAGCATAAAAAAGCTAATGTTGTATTTTACATCTTCTCTCTTCCTCTATAATGACAAAGAAGAAGGCTACGACATATAATATGAAGATAGATAAGATGACACAAGTCATGGTTCATTTTTTCTGTTTTATTTTAAGCGTAGTTAAGGTATTTTTCAAAAAAATTAACTTTGTTAACTTTATTTTTGGATGGAAAAATAAGTTAGAGGTAAGTGATAAAGAAATTTGGCATAAATATAATTCAAAATTTTGAGGTAAGTGATTCAAGTTTTGAAATTTTTCGTTTTTTATTCAATAGTGGGAATTGAATACACTATCAAATCCCTCACCACTAAATCTATCAATATCATAATGTCTTATCGAGTATGTCATCTGAATGTATAAGGAATGAATATAATTTCTCATATATCACGAGACATATAAAAAAATAGGTGAGATCTAATAAGGAAAAAAGAGAAAAAAAGAAGAAGAATGGTTTACTAAGGAAAAGAGAGAAAAAAAAAGTGAATCTCGTCTACTTTTTTATGTGTTACACGAAATAATATATTCCATACAACATAAGAAATTATATCCTCAATGTTATTTATAAATGATTTTTTTAACAAATAAATAAATATTTGATTTAAAGGTAAACACATTTAAAATATGTAATATTTCGTAAGGTAAAGTGTGCAACCACGTCACTTTGAGAATGCTGGTGGTGTAAAATCCAGCAGCTACGGTTGGATCCTAGTTCTGCACGGGAACAAGGGTGTTTTGATTTACCTCCTCTTTACATCTCGTATGATTTTAGAAAACCCTCAAATCGGATTTATATCATTTTCTTTCAATTTTTAACCACCACATTAAATAAAACACTTGGATATACACTGAAATGAACATTTAAATACACATTAGATTATATTATAAATGTACAAAGGTACCATTTTATAAAGTACAATTACCTACTGATGAGGCCGTGGAAGAATAAGGAGCTTTTTTATGAATATTTTATCAGTAACTCCAAACCAGATCAAGGTGATCTAAACAACATATAATGATAAATGCCAAAACATTAATGTCAGATGGAATCCACCCGCATTGGGATGGATGAAGTCACAATTTACACTCTAAAATACCAAAATAATTTTGGTACTCCTGTTGTCATGAACACTCGGTATATCATTTATCATTTATCAAATATGACAAAAAATAATATTTTTATACTACCCTCACTTTTATAATTATCTTCACCCGTATCCCATATTTTTTTTTGAATAACCAAAAGGAGCTCCTAAAATAAGGATTGGAAGATAAATGCTTTGGTGGTTGAAATTTGGGGCGCACCGAAAGGTCTTAAACTGGGGTCTAATTCCTGATGTTATGTACAACACCCAGAGTAAGTGCCATGTATTTTCCTTTTTTGTTTTTTGGTAAACATGTAGTTTTCTTTCTTTTTGCCTTGGCCCTGTTTTATCCCAAAAAGAAAAATCAATGCTAATATTTTGAGTGAATTACACCTATCATAAAAGAAAATTGCATCCCAGTATACTTTTAAGTATACCCTACCCATTTGAGTAACATAGCTAAAATAAGCTTAATAAGGTTCTTTTAATCATTTAGAACAATACAAACAACATAAAAAAATAGTGGGTAGATGGTGGTTAGCTATGATCAACAGTAACAAAAGAGTGGTTCGTATTGGCGATCATTAAGATTCTTAATCTATTATGTCCGTAAATAATTAAATACATAGTATACCTACTCTCCTTTATATTGTTAAGGAGTTGTGCAATGTCAGCATATTCAAAGTCATGGGACAGAGAATGATTTTAATAGACTAGCACTAACAAGATTGAAAATGAAATTGTATGCTTTCTTTCTAAAATCCAAGAAAGAAATGATATGGCAGATAGTTGCACGAGCCTTGTGAGTGAACACAAGGTGGTTGGCTCGGAACAAAGTTATGTTAGATAGATGAATTAAATCTTCCATATGGTAAATGTGTGGGAGAAGATGTTCCCGGTAGCTCCAAAACTGCATGCAAAATGCAAACTTTGGCATTATGAGATTTTGTTACATATGATACAATGGCAGGATCGAGGTATTGAGTAGTATTTGTTAAGACTTTCTCAATGACGAGAACAGTAACAACAATTAATGTGGCCGTCCAACGTGACCCTAAAGCTAAACATGCATAACCTTCATAGCTTTCTTGTACTTCACGAGCATTGCATATCCAATACGTCACAATTAACTAACATTCTCTTATATTAAAGTTATGAAACCAGCAACCTTATCACCAAATCTGCAACATTGCATTTCTCATCAATGAACAGCTTGAAATCCATCCATGTTTTCTCAGAAACCAATCAAACACAAACTCCCTCCAATTCTTTTTCCATGCAAATATTGGATTCATCTATTCAAATTCTAATAAAATCATGGAAGAGAAGACAAAGATGAAGCATTTCTTTTTACCAAATCCAGCCAACAAGATCTCAATAGAGCACCATGGCGTACCCTTTTGACCAATTTCTTAGAATCAACATGGGTTCGTGTGTTTTCAATCACATTGCTCATTGTAGACCTCATCATCACAATTCTTGAGCTGTCTTCCTCTTTAGTTTCATGTGAGAAAAAAATGAACAGAGTAGAAGAACTGTGTTTCCATTGGATGGGAATTGGTATTCTTAGTCTTCTTTCAGCAAAGACAATGGCTATGCTAGTGGGTTAGGCTATTCATTCTTCAAGCATCCAGGGTACGTTATGGATGGAGTTGTGGCCATTGGTGCTTTATTTATGGAAGCCTTTGTGGAGAGGAAAGGTGGTGGTTTATTGGTTGTAGTGAGTTTATGGCGTGTCATTAGAGTTGTGGAGAGTGTCTTTGAGTTAAGTGATGAGGCCATTGAAGCTCAGATTGCAGGGATAATTTGCCAGTTTGAGGCACTCAAAGAAGAGAATATGAGGCTCTTAGAAATAATACATGAGAAGGAGAAGACAATTGAAAAGCTCAAAGAGGATTTAGATAAATGTAGAGATGGAAGCCCTTAAGGGGATGTTTGGTTCAGGAGATATTTTTTTTTTACTAGAGAAATGTAAATACAAGGAAAAACGTTGGAAAGTAAGTTTGGTAAGAAAGTTTAAAAAAAGTTGTTTGGTACCGTATAATATTAGTGGGGAAATTGGGTTAAATATACAGAGGGTATGTTTGGTTGAAAATAAAAATTTGATGGGAAAATGGATGAAATCTACGAAAGTAACCTTTTTTATAAAATTTTAAACCATTAGAACATATATCACAGAGAGGTATTAATGTCACTGTTTTTACCCACTTTTTTCATTTCTTCGATTTTGACAGAAATACCTGTGTTTGATGGCTAAAAGTAATGGAATCCTTCTACCGAACGAGGAGAATGGAGATTGCTACATGCACTTAGATGGGGAAATTTTGAGAACTCTTGAACCAAACACTCCCTAAACGAATTCAAGAAAATTTTGAAATTCACGTCGTGGTCTTGTACTAATTCAACGTCAACATCAACATCAACAACACCTTTATCCCAAATTAATTAGGGTCGGTGATAGATGAATCAAAATGAAAGTTACAAAAAGATTGAAAAAAGAAACATAAAAATAAAAATAAATAAATAGAATAGTAATAATATATATATATAGGGGAAGGTTATACTTACAACTTATTTTCCTTTACAACCTCTTACAACCAATATCTTAACCGTTGATTTCTGTCAATCAACGGTTAAGATTTTTGCAAATAAAATTTATTAAATAATTATTAATTCTCAATAAATCCTAACCGTTGATTGACGGAAATCAATGGTTAAGATATTGGTTGTAAGAAGTTATAAAGGAAAATAAGTTGTAAGTATAAACTCTCCCATATATATAAATATAAAAGTAAAAAAAGAAGAAGAAAAAAAAGACGGGAAAATGACTAAAAAAGACCCTCTGAAACCTATAAATAATAACGGGTATTGTACTAATTAAATTTAGCAAATGATCTTGCATCAAGCAACTTTTCTTGCTCTTTATACGTTGGTTAGAGACGACTTCTCTGCTTCTTTATCAATTACGATTGGTTGGAAGGAACACAGAAAAGGAAGAAAATGCTTGCTTTATGAATAAGAAAGCTATAATGCCATTGCTTCAAACAAAAATCATGAGGAAAAATGTATACATATTCCACGAACTTTTGGGTCTTATTGGAATTAGTTAAATACATAAACATAGTTTACTCAGGCATGTCGCTATAGCATTATTGTTTCTAATAATTTTCATTAATCATGTAATGATACTTTACTCTTTTTAGGCAATTTTTTTTTTGGGTTACAATTAGGCATTTGAGTGGATGCTAATTGAGTTTACCAACTTGTTGATACTTTTTTTGTTGTTGTTGGTTTTCTACGCTCATGTAAGTCTCGATTTTAGTAAAAATGATAATTTCATGAAGTTTTTTAACATAAAAATTTCACATATAATGACAATAAAAGGAGAAAAACTTGTATTCATCACTTTGAAATTCGTGCAGATTCAATGTTAATAGAAGTTCTCTATAATATAATATTTGTTTTTCTCTTTTAAATCTTTACATGATTTTGTTATATTAATATTATGAGAAGTTAAACTTATTATCTCTTTTTCTTATTATCTCTTACTACTAAATTTTAATCGTTGATTTTCATCAATTTAATAGTTATAATTTAATAATTAATTAATAAATATGACCTAATAAATTACAACTGTTAGATTGACGAAAATTACCAGTTAAGATTTAATAAAAAGAGATAGTAAGAAAAATAGATAGTAACTATAACCTCCCATTAATATTTTGTATTTTTTTTAATAATTTTTCGCAAACTTATTGTCTCACTTATTTAATACCAATTAAATAAGATATAAAAGAAATTTTATATAATCTAAGGAGGTTATATTTAGAACATTTTTTTTATAATTGTTTTATTATGGTGGATTAAAATTAAATAAATCATTGGTATTTGATGTTATTTTATAGTTATTTATTTGATTTTAATTTAATATTAATTAAAAAAATTAAAAGAGATTAAAAAGTAAATGAGATTGTAAACAACTAAACATTATGTGCGTCTACATAGTTTAGTACCATACATAATTTTATTATTGTATTATTTTAGAGATATGATATTGTTATTACTAATTAGTGTTATTACCAATATCATTATCAGTCTGTTTCACTGTTAGATAGATTATATTGATCCAACGATTCTGATTAACTTTCTAAAAATCTTATTTCACTGTTAGATAGATTATATTACCACAAAATTTTTTTACCACTTTTACAATCAACTTGATTTTAGATGGACTATTTGAACCCAATTCTTAGCAAAACCACCCTCTCTTGCTAGTATTAGGGTTTTTTCATCGTCCAAATTCAGAGATCCTTTAGATTTGGCTCAAAACATGGCTACCAGTACGTTAATGATCAAGACAATTTTCAGTTTCTTTTGTCAAAAAAAAAAAAATGTTACCTTTTCGGAAGCAACCTTCATAGGTTTCTTACTTCCCGAGCATAGTACGTCAATAATCATGTAATTAAGGATATAAATAAAACTAAAATTTTAGCTGACAGAATTTAGACATAGTTTCAGAAAAAATTCAAACATATTTCAAAAGTTAAAGATGAAGTTGTATATACTAAGACTCACAATGTTATTAATAGATATAAGATTGTTATGGACCAATTAAATGGTCTCCACTTCCTACTCCCACTACATTGCTAAGCATCTCACTCCACCACTCTCTCTCAACTTCCATCCACTATAAATAACCACCCACTAAGCATTGCATGACACCATTAATCATTTGCTAAACTACCCACAATGTGCACGATCTTCTAGTGCACTTCATCTATATATGACCCCCTATAGCGAATGAGTGGATCATCTCATGACTTATCTCAGTACTCACCACAATGGCTATAGCCTCCACACTTGTGCCCAAAATCCACTAAACAAATGACTCACACATACAACCCTTATTCGTACCATCAAACTTTGGCTTGAGGTATTGGATTTCTCATTGGGAGTTATCTATTTCATTAGCCGGGTAGATACAAATACCAACTATCATGCTAGATATTGATGTTCATCCAAGGACACTACCCAATCATTATAGTTGGTGTTCGCTCCTAACAAAGGTCAATGAAGCTTTCATGTGATAGCATTCTGAATCTGGATCTTCTTAAGTTCAATAATGTGTAAAACTAAGCTGTTAGGACAAAATCAGTTATTCAAATTTCAAAAATACAAATCATAGATCATGTAGATGTGAAAACTCACTCCCAGTAACTCAAAGAATAACATACGCAACTGTAGATGTGAAAACTCACTCCTAGGTCACTATTATAACATTTTTATTGCTGTAATTTAAAAATATAGAAAACAGATATTAAGACTTACTTGATTGGCAGAGTTTCGCTGCGCAAAAATCTCAAGCAAAATTCAAAGAGAAGTCTAGAAACTCTGATTAGGTAGATCCGTAACATCCAAAATTGGCCAAATTTTTGCGCAGCGAAGGGTATTTATAGGGGTGTTGGGTCGCGCCTAGGTGGGGCACGGCCATGCACCAAATGCACTAATTGGGGCGCGACCAATCAAGCCAATTTTGGATGCGACTGATTAATATAGATCCGTAAATTGATTTTAAAATACACTGTTTTTAATTTGTTGTTTAAATAATAATATTTTAATTTTTTTTTTGTCGCAGTTAAAAGTGCTTAACTTCACTCGGTCAGAATCTCATCTTTTTTCTTTTCTTACACTTCAGAGGACTGTTAAGAAAATTCGCACCGCATTTGATATGGAAAAAAAAAAAACAATCTCGAGTATTAATTTTGAGAGGATACTCACCCCTTTTTCAAGTTTCAAGTCATTTGCAACATTATATATGTAGTAAATCCAATAAATTCTTGGCTGGTAAACCAATACAAGTTTTTTCCTTTTCTTTACGTTTTTTTTCTTCTTATGTAGTGATATATAATGCAGGTTGTTTTAAGCTTCGATGTCGGCACATCCAATATCACTATAACCCCAAAAGCATATAGAAACTTGATTAACGGAAAATAACTACTTTTTAAGAACTTAAGGTTTCTTTCATTTGTACCCTAAACCAACTAATTATTCTTCGAAACCATAAGTTTATATTCAAACAAAACTCATTTCATGTAACATCGATTTCATAGGGTAGATTATGAGTCGTGAAAATCTTTTTTCTTTTCTTATGAATTTCACTATTTGACCTATAGTATTTGGTACTTAACATCAATTGAACTAAAACATAGCTGCAGTACTAAGCGGCCGAACTAAGCAGCAAAATTTAGAAAAGGTATGTGCATTCTTCCGATATTAATTGCTGCTAAAGAAAAAAACTAATCATTGGAATATTACATGGATGAATGTTAAAAGAATATTCAATGATATCTAAAATCAATCTCATACAGATGCTGTATATATGCCTTCTCCACTTTCGTTGTTGGTCTCTATTGCAGTCAGGTACTCTCTCTTGAGAGTAGTGAACTTGGCAGCTATGTCATCAGAGTCTGGCAGCTTAAGATGAACATGATTAGGATGTTGAGAAGGACATGAATATGTCCTTAACATCTTATCTTTGCTGTTTCCATGTCGCTCTTGGGGCATTGTCATGGCCCTTGAGTAGCGGTCTTCTGTTTCTATTCTTGTTAAGGAATCAGTAGTCCTTGGATTGGAAACATTGGGGGAGGAAGAGATCTCTGCTTTTATTTCATTGTTTCCATTACCAGCATGGCAACATTGGTTGTTGAATACATGATTATCAGCTACACCACTATAACTCTTCCTATCTAATCTCTAGGGGATAGTAATCAATTCTTCTCCCGGGTTCAACTCATCATCCCAAAAGGGTTGGCAATGACAACATTGATCAAGGAGAACTCCTTGTTGAACATGTGTAGCTCTCATTCCTCTCTTTGGCTTCATTGATGGAGCTTCCAAACAGTCTTTATCATCATAAAGGCAAAGGTAACATGGCTGGTCCAAACTGCAGCTGCTCATTTTAAAGTTGAAATTTTTTCTCATTGAGCAGTCTTCCCTTTGAAATGACTGTGAAATATTTTCCTTTTCTAAGAAACTATGTAGCATCAGTCTCTTCTGGTCATAACTTGGTTGGGCTATTCTTTCTAGTGAAGGCTATACTGAGTATCATGAGCGACTTCTGCACGGCTTGTGCACGACTTGTGATAATATGTCATATATTCAATATCCATAATGCATATGTTTTCCAGAGCGACTTGTGCACGGCTTGTGATAATATGTCATATATTCAATATCCATAATGCATATGTTTTCCAGAGCGACTTGAGCACGGCTTGTGATAATATGTCATATATTCAATATCCATAATGCATATGTTTTCCAGGGAGGCTGATCTCCTTCTTGATCTTCTCTCAGTTGCCGTTTTTCTCCTTCTGGGGGTCCTTATGCTTGATTTATCACTTTGTGATTCATCTTGATCTGTATCACTTTCATCACAACCAAATTGAATTTCTTCTCTCATGGACAGACCAAAGGATCTGAACTTAAATAGCATTTGGTCTTGGCAGGAACCATCTTTTGGTAAAGAAAACTGACATTCCTCAATGTCATCAACATAATCTACCATTTCTTCAGGATAGGGAGGGAAACTTACTCTTTCTGCATAAGATGCTAAAGCCATTCTTTTGCCCTTGATTTGCGGACTAGTATTTCTATAAGAAAGTAGCTCAGGAAAGTCTACCTCTACTACTTTCTTTTGCAAAGGACAGCTCAGGATATATGGGGGATATGTTGAACACAAGACACTATGACAGAAGTATTAGCTAAGCTAGATTCAGTTAGAGAAGATTCACTTGGTTTGGGAATAGATGAATCAACACATGTGATATCTCTTTTTATCTCTTCAACCTCTGAAGGGTGGACTTTAGATCCTTCATTTGTGTAACTTATTTCGGCATCACTTTCCACTAGTTGATACCCTTTGACTTCTTTCACCTGTACAAAAACATTCAACATAAATTTGGTACTAGTAAACAAGAAGATTATAAATTCATTAATATTACATTGAACCTAGTAAAGAAGAATGACCTGCACTTGCTGCCAATCAGGGTAGTATTTTATGACTAAAACCTGTTGTTGGAGGCAGTTATCCCTAGCTATTTCATTCACCACTCTGTACTTCAGATCATCCGGTACAGACTTCCCTGACAGGTTCTCTTTTAACTATGGTTTTGAAATTCCATGTATATGCATACATCATTAACAAATATGGAATTGCATCAAATGCAAAACTATACTTTATGGGGACAAAAAAATGTATCTGTTTGTTTACAAGATTTCCGGGAAATAGCTCCACAGCTGTAGTTGCAAACCTCTCACCATAACGCTGTCCAAATAGCTTCCTAATGACACGGAGCTCGGGAAGATCCCCACATCTTGCTGAAGCAAATATAAGGCTAGAAATTGCTTCCGTAGTATCATTTGGACAGTCCCTGATTTTGGAAAGTAGAACCATCAGAAAATTTTTTGGGAAGGGTGAGGGGTGCCAAATAAATGTATTTGATTTAGATAGGTAGAAATCAATTCATACTTGTGCCTTCGGATATAGGAGAGTCTCTTAAGGATAAGTTCACAGAAGTGATCTAACAATTCATATGCAGCAGCCAGGCTTTCATCTTCCAAGAGCTGCTCAACCTGAAATTGTGAGAAAATACATAGCTAAGATTTGGGACTGCAGAGAAAATTATCAAAATGTGATGAGTTAAGTTACTAAATTAGAATACCCGGTAGAATGATTCGTATTTTCATATCTATAGCATAGAGTTTCAGACTTCACCTAAAATTTAGTTCAAGCTGTAGTTAATTATAGTTCTATGTCTTACTGAGATTTTGTGCATAGTACTTTATCTTCACTGTATTTTACATCCAATTCTCCCTATATGGCTGATGCTATATCATTCATTAATCAATATGAGTGATGTTTATATTTACATTGGAGATTCAGTATGGAGATTACAACCAAGCAAATCCTATACAAATACTACCTCAACACCAACTCTAACGAGGCTTTGAAGTATACACAAAATCTACAAGTGTTAAACATGCATACACAAGACATATATGTATTTGTAAAATACATACTATCAGACATCAGTAGAGATTTACAAGAAGAATTTGGCAAACTAATACAAGATAATGAAGATATACTGAAACAGTTAAGTAGGATAAACTGTTCAACTTTGTTCATGGAAAACCATCTCCCAACAAACTCGACGGAAAGAAAAACCCCTCTTACTAAAAACAAAAAAACAGGATGTAAAGGGAGATAAGCATGCATGAACAGATTGAAATTCAATAAATGAGTATGATATTCATACAAACCCTATTAATAGCAGTTTCTTCATGGCCACTCTGTATTAGCTCAGCCAAGTCTTTTCGATGTAGCTTCACTATTGCCTGCCTCTTGTTCTTGAGTATCCTGAGCCGGCACCTTGCGCTTTTGATAGCCTTCTTACTGTAACACAGTAAAGCCAAAGACAAAAAAAAAAAATAAATAAATAAATCTTGAAGTCATACATGATTGTTATGCAAAATAATCTCGAGTTTTCAATTTACATAATACTATAGTTACCATTTTGAAGCTTTGGACCAACCGAAGAGTTTGTCAAACATGTTGGTAAAAATGAAAACAAGCTTTAGAGTTGAAGCAGAATAAGGAAGCCACCAAAAAAGAAAAAAAGAAAAAAAGATGTGAAGTTAGAATGCAGCTTGGCATGGGAAGATAACATAAGAGTATATAAATAAGGGCATTCGAGACCCAATGCAATGGCATTCAACGGAAAATAACTATTTTTTAAGAACTTAATTAATGTTTTTATCTTTTGTAATACTAGTACAGTACTCATGCGATGCACGGAGAAAAAAGATCAAAAAATTTGTTGGCGTCGTTCGTTAATCACTAAAAGGAAGAACCGAATACTGTTTTTTTAGCCAATATTTGGTTGCTTTTGCAAAAAGCAGAAATTAAAAAATAATTAATTTTTTTTAAAAATAAGATAATATAAATTTTTAAAATACAATTTTAACCTCATCATATCATACTTATTTTATCTGGTCTTATCCTAAGATTATGCTATTTTATCTCTTTTTTATTGTAATTCTATATATAATTTTTTTATTTATTTTAACATTCAAATAACTTTTTTATGTAAAAGTGATTTTCAGATCATATAACCAACCGTAAAATACTTTATCTTTTAGAGAAAAAAATTAAAAAAGCAATGCATAAAAAGTTATTTTTTTAAAAGCTCATCCAAACGCAACCTAAATGCTTTCTAAAATCATTGTAATATTACATGGTTGAATGTAAAGAATATTTAATGATATCTAAAATCATTGTAATATTACACGGTTGAATGTAAAGAATATTTAATGATATCTAAAATCAATCTCATACAAAGCCATTTTAATGGGTAATTCAAACATGCCCACTGTAAGGGTGTGAAGAAATAAAATAAAAGACGTGAACTGATTAGAGAACTAACCTGAATTAAACTATAAAAACTGATTTTTAAAAATTCAGTTTTTAAACTTAAACCAATTTATATTTTTCAAAAAAGGTTGGGTTATATTTATTATTATTTCTTCACTATCAGGATGTAAAGGGAGATAAGCATGCATGAACTATATTACAACGGGGCTCCCTCGGATCGGGTCGAGCGAAGACTGTTGGTCGAAGCTGAAACGGAGGTTGTTCTGCCGCCGATCCAGGCATCCAGCGAGGCCTGGCGCGTCAACTGACAGCTCAGGGTCCGCCGTAACGATCCCCACGAGAATTGCGGGAGATGCCGCGCTTCAATTGCGCGACAATGCTGTCCATGCCTCCATGGTGTTGTGATCGTAACAGGAAAAAAAAAAATATATATATATATATATATAGGGTAGGATATTCTTATAACGGTATAAGAGTTAGAAGTCTTACACTCATTGATCCACTTGTATCTAACTGACAAGACTGAGAGTATAAACGCTGGTGTAAAATAAATGATCCTGATCCATATTTATATATATATGGCAAAATGATTTCTGCAGCTACTGTACCTACTACAGCAAGCAAAGATACATGTCTAAATCCTAGGATACGGCAACGGATCCTGAGTTTTTTTTTTTTAAAAAAAAGCCGTGGAACTCACTTTTCTGTGTCAGCTGTAGATAACACTATCTACGGCTGCTGCAGAAATGTTAAGCCCTATATATATATATTGGGATAATGGATTCCCAATCTGAAGCTTGGTTGAATTGTTATGAATGACCATAAATTAGTAATTGAAATTAGAATCAAATTAGCATTTGGTGCCCTGCAATGTTTGATCTAGTAATTAAAGAATCATGCGCTATCTAGCAATCACATATCATTTTATGAAAAAATGCTCATCCGTATGGTAAGAACTTGTCCACTAAAATAGCACCCAAAGGGGATTATGTGATGAAGCTTTATTGGGGCCACAAGCACAAAATAATAACTGCACTAATTTTGGTTTTAGTTTGTCACAACCGAGACTTAAAAAGTGTGACTCTTACAAATTTTAGGTCGTGATTTACTACTCTGTTGTGAACTACTTGGCAGATTTGAGGTTACGATAATTTGAATTAAGGTAGGCTCTGAGGCCCGAACTTAGTTTAAAGCTGAAATTTTTATATGAAGTACCTAAGAGTAGGTATCTCTGTAGAGTTTCATCGTGAACTGAAAAATATGGAACCTTAAATGTTGCTTGAAAAGTTTGAGTTTGTATAATTGCATATTGTATATGAGGAATTCTTTTCAAACCTTATGTTGGTTAGTTCTAACTTGAATTCAAGTAGGAAAACACCTATTGTGTGCCTCAATTCTCTTCGAAATTTTGTTTAGCTTTGAAAATGAGAGTTTTTTTACCCAAATACTTCACCATTGTTAATTAGGTGACTCTATGAAACATTAAGTTTCTGCAAGTTCATCTTTTGCTCGTCTTGACTTCTATGTAGGGACCATTTGTTAAATTTAGTTCTATACTAAACATTTGTTAAATTTGTGATTGTTTAATAGTCTATTTGATCCATTTTCTATGCAACAAAAATATGTTTTCCCCTTCTTTACGAATTTGTACATATAATTATACTATTTGTGGTAGCCAAGGTATTATCTGTGGTGAACCGTTGGAGCTATTTTGCTAATTTTTGATTTTCTGGGTTTCCTAGTGAGTTTTGAGCTCACCCCTTTGCAAATGGTTTCAGATTTGTTCAAGAACAACCATGACCACCTTGATGACATTGATTGCAATTGATTATGCTTGGGTGTAGGTTTCTGATGAGGGAGTTTAAGCTAATATTATTAAGTACATTAGGATCAATGTTGTTAAAACGTAGAGTCTACGCCGAAACGGTAGGGGTGAGCAAAAACGTAAAAACTTGAAACTTAAACGAAACGTAAGAGTTTACTACATACCCAAAAAAAAATAAAATATCCAACATATAACCAAAGCACACCGATACATAAGTTCAAACACTAAGGAAATACAAATTAATTTTAAACTTAGTCATCATAATACATACTAAAATCAAAATACCAAGGTAATAAAATTATTAAAGAGATCAACATCTCTAATCTAAGTTATTGGAGTCTAAAATAAAAAAAAAATTGTTTGTTCTTCTCAATTGATGCCTTTTTTTTCACTCATACACATAAATAGTTTGTTTTCTTTTGAAATATTTAAGTGATCTGTTATTTATTGACTTACATAGGTTATGTACTTACAATACTAATATTATCTTGGTTATGTAATATGTAGGAAATGTTAATTTGATTTATAGACTTCGATATGTCGTCTATTGAACCTGAAATACCATGTATTATATGTTTGATTGATCTTTTGTTACACAATGGTGTGTAATTTATTATTTTTTATATTAAAAAATTTGGAATTTATATAAAAAAAAATTCAGATATTTGAGTATATTTACAATTTTTTAATATAAATTAATATTTACATATACTTATCGGGTCATACAATTGAACTAATGACTTATTGTTGAACTAGTAATCCAATAACTTAATACATCTATAGAATCAATAACTGAGTCGAGTTTAATAACATTGATTCATGGAGTCTTTTATTTTTCACACATTTTGCGGATAAAAAGCCATTGATGTCTCTTTCTCTCTCTCTCTTTTCTTTTTCTGTTTCGGTCTTTTTTGAATTGTGATAACTGATACCTTGTGCTTTGCCACAATTAGATGATCTGTTGAGTTTGACTTTGTTGACCATGGACATTAGCATAGACATTTTATTTGAGCGATTAATATTTCTCATATTATAAAAAATAATTTTATCTTCTACATAAATACAGATAAAACAAGGGAGATAAGCATGCATGAATCAATTGAAATTCAATAAATGAGTATGATATTCGGATCTGGATTCTCTAATATGAAAATTCACATGATCATGTAATGTGGAGAATCATAACCATACAAAGGTGGATCAATGGTAAAAAAGGAGGAGAGAGAAAAAATGATAAAATAGATAGTTATGAAATCATAACCGTTGATTTACCTTTGTATGGTTGTGATCTTCCCACATGACCATATCATGTTTTTTTGGCACATTAGAGGATCCATTTCCATGATATTCATACAAACGATGTTAACAAAAATTTCGTTGCGATAAAAATGGAGATTGAAGAAGATTATGAAAAATAGTAGATAAGATCAACTGTTATCTTATTTCAAATGTAACTAGGAGTATAAAGAATAAAGATTATCCTTATCATATGTTTAAATTGAAATTGTTATTGGATTCTTTGTATCATGCTATATTTAAGATGAATGAAACCTCCCTAAAAGAATAAAAAAATTGAGGAGGTTCTTTACTCGGGAGTTTGGAAATGATGTGGATCAAAACTGGTTTCCAAACCAGTTCAAAAATAAAAACCAATTCTGTTATGGATATATATATTATATCCTAACTACTCACCTAAGATTCTACTAAAGTATAAATACATAATTATCCTAACAATATCAAATAACAAAGTTATCCAAGATAGAGTCATTATCTCAACAGAAAGGGAGGTAAGTCCTATTGCAACTGGGAGATCTATGCAAACCCTAGAGATAATCTTTATAAATAAGAGGCTAAAGACCCTAGGTACACACTTTTGAACCTATTTTTACTATTGTTGCCATTTGCCAACACTGTGCACACACTCACGTCTTGGCTATAAGCCTATTGCTTGTGCGCAGTGATTGAGATATTGGCTATAAGCCGACTATGTGTAGAGAGTACAGAGAGAGGGGGAGAGAGAAGGGACTATATAAGTATCAAATCTGAACCGTCGAATCAAAATAACCAATCTATCGGTGAAATTAATTGGTAGTAACTATACTTGGTTTGGTTGTTACAATATCCTACATCTATTAATATTTTTTATTTATTTTTTAATAATTTTCACAAATTTTGTTTGTCTCACTTATTTAATATCTATAAAAGAGATAAAAGAAAAACTTAGTATGTATAATTAAGGAAGGTTATATTTTATAACATCTTTTTCCTTACTATTGTTTTTATCATTGTTATATCAAAATTACATCAACAAATCTTATTTGATATTATTTTATAATTATTGATTTAATTTTAATTCAACAATAATTAAAAAAAAATCTTTTGAAAGAGATCGACTAAGAAGTTGTAAACGAAATGATATCGTAAATATTAAGTACGCCTATTTGTACGTCAATTTTTGGTGGACTATTTGAACCCTATTCTCAGCAAAATCATCGCCTCTTGCTCCAGCGTTAGGGTTTCTTCATCGTCCCAAGTTTAGAGATCCTTTAGATTTCGCGGTGCTTTTACACTTAAAGATTCAAAACATGGCTACCAGTACGTTAACGCTCACGACAATTTCCAGTTTCGTTTGTGTTTTATTCTTTGCACACATAACACCTTTCGTCTCGTTTTTTTTTGTAGCTACGGCAAGGTCTTTTCTTCAAGTCGCCGCAACGGAGGAGGCTGCACCCCCTCTTAGAGTCGTCCAGATTGAGGGACTGGTATCAATTCTCTGCTTTTTCCACTTTAATTTTTCAAATTGATGCACAACCCCATAATACTAGTTTCGGAATCAACCAAAAAAAAATGTTACCTTTATATGGGGTTTTGAAGGTTCCCATTATTTGTAATTCTGGGTCTCTCTTCGTTTTTGCATCTAGGTAATCTATAAATGTGTTGCTTTGTAACTTCATGTGTTTGTGGACTAACCAATTATATAGGATTTTGGAAATTGCAATATTTAAGTAACATTTTACATCGTAGTCTATGCTGATTTACATTTTGCAAATATTGTACAATATAAGTTTGTAAAGCGTTTGAGGCAGGACCCCAAATTGTAAGAAAATCAATTAGCTTTTTGCATGGTGAAGAAAATACTTACACCGTTCTGGGTGCTATTGTTTCTTGGTTGAACAGGTTATCCTGAAGATAATTAAGCATTGTAAGGACCACTCACCTTCTTTAGTCACTGGACAACTTCTTGGATTGGATGTTGGCAGTGTTCTTGAAGTTACCAACTGCTTCCCCTTTCCTGTATGATATCACTTTTTCTTTTTATTTCTTTTGTTTCTCCTTTTTTTTTTTTTTTGTCGAATTCTCTAGCATTGCCCTGCTAAAGTTATTATCATCTCTTTTACTAAAAATTTCAGATGAGGGAGGAGGATGAGGAAATTGAAGCTGATGGTGCTAATTACCAGCTTGAAATGATGAGGTGCTTGAGGGAGGTTAACGTTGACAATAATACTGTTGGATGGTATGTATGATGAAAATACCACTTTACATATCAGATACCTGCACGTGTTTTCTTATATCATTGATTGATAAATGTGATAGAATTTTGGTTCAATATGTCCTTTGTAATGATTTCTCCAACACATGGGATAATTCTCTGAATGTAGGTACCAGTCTACATTGCTTGGCTCCTTTCAGACTGTGGAGCTGATTGAAACCTTTATGAATTATCAGGTAATGGCTCCCAGATTATTAATTTATTTTTTGCATAATTTCACTGAAACTGAGGTTTCTTGGACTAACCAACCTTATATAGTTATATGTTATTGTGGAAACCAAATGCTCTTATAGTTTTCTATTTAGTGTAAATATGCAGAAATTATTCTTCCTGGTGCCCCTCCAAACTATTCAACCCTTAGTCAAATGAGATCATAGATGGGAGGTGATTACAATAAGTTACATAGTAACCTGCAAAACTGTAAAATTGGAATGCCCAACAGGCCTACACAAGATGTATGGTCTGCACCACCAAATTAGAACTTGATAATGGGGACTTATTATGATACTGAGGCAGTGTGTTATTCTTGATCAAGAGTATCAGATATGGGCATAGTTTGTTCGATGAAAGTTACCTCTGTTACTGTTAACTGAGAATTTTACATGTGCTTACTTTATTGCTTTGAACTAGAAACTGGTGTTGGTAAAATAGGGGAAGTTGAGTAGACTAGGTATTAGGATGAACGAAACTATATTTGTGAATAACGAGATAATGAGAATCTCATGGTGCTTCCATTGTCTAGGTATTCTGTTTCTTGAATTTAATATAGATGACTGATGATTATTTCTCTTGTTAAAAACTGAAAAAGTTAATATATTGGATGCAGTTCTTCATGTCATTTTTTTTTTGCTGAAGACAATATTTTGAACAGTATCTTATTAGGTAAATGACTTTTTCTCTCAAACATACTAATGTTTTTCAGGAGAATATTAGACGCTGTGTTTGCATAATATATGATCCATCAAGGTCTGATCAAGGTGTCCTAGCTCTGAAGGCTTTGAAGCTTTCTGATTCGTTCATGGAACTCTATCGCAGCAACAATTTTACTGGAGAGAAGTATGAATTTCTTGTAGATGTCATGTTCTCTTTAATTGAACCATTTGATTCTTATTTTTCTGTCTTATTGTGAAATAGATTGAGGGAGAAGAACTTATCATGGGTGGATATCTTTGAAGAAATACCTGTAAGCTTTCCCAAACTTTGCTGTAACCTGCTGAGTAATAGTCTTTCTTTTAATGAATTATTCTTCTTTTTTTAAATTTTTCTCAATATGGAATGTCAATGCCTTACTAAATCATCTTAAAACTAAGCTTATTGGAAATTTGAGATGAAAAAAAAAAACACATTTATCTTGGTGGATTGGAATAATGATAATCTTGGTCACAGTTGTTAATGCAACAATTATGCATGAACTAGACATGTGACTGGCATTATAAAATAGGTCACATTTATCTTGGTGGATTGGAATAATGATAATCTTGGTCACAGTTGTTAATGCAACAATTATGCATGAACTAGACATGTGACTGGCATTATAATATAGGTCACATTTGCTATTTAATGCTGATCAGGTTTCTTACATATTTATATATTAGATCAAAGTTTCAAATTCTGCCCTTATCAGTGCTTTTATGACGGAGCTGGAACCTGATACTCCAGTCACCCAGGTGAACTATGATCCTTACCAGAGATTCTTTTGGTTATTTTAATTTTAGTTTATGTTTTCATCTGCTGTTGTGCCATTGCAGTGTGATTATGATCGTCTGCAATTATCAACCAGTTCATTAATGGAGAGAAATATGGAATTTTTGATTGAATGCATGGATGACTTGTCACTAGAACAACAAAAGGTTATTAAAGGTTTTCATTTAGTAGTTGATCCCATCTTTTTATTTAAAAAATATATTTGACTGAAGTTTCTTCTGTTTCAGTTCCAATTCTACTATAGGAACTTGTCTCGGCAGCAGGCTCAGCAGCAAGCATGGCTTCAGAAAAGAAGGTATGATTTAGTTTGTATTTGAACCTATAAAGCAAATATGGAGATTGACATCTGCAATAGTTAGCTTTATCCATTTTCTTTTTCTGGTTTTTGTAATTATAGGGCAGAGAACATGGCACGTAAAGCTGCTGGAGAGGAACCTTTGCCTGAGGAAGATCCTTCAAACCCCATTTTCAAGCCACTCCCCGAGCCATCACGGTTGGAGAGCTTCCTCATAACAAATCAAATTTCCAACTACTGCAACCAAATCAACGGGTATGACTATATTTTGACTATATCTTGAGAAGCAAAGATACCCTAGTTGCCTATTTGAAGTTTCTGCCCGTTTTCTTTATTATGGTTATATCTTCTCTAGCCAATAGAGTTTAATTTGTTACATTTTCTGCTCCATGTTCTGCAGGGTGTCAGGACAGAGCTTTAATAGACTCTATTTGATGAAGGCTTTGCATGAGGATTGAAACTGCAATTTTTGCTAGTGATTCTTGATGCTTGCTTTAATCCAATTTCCTTTCCGTATAGGATGAGAATTTTATGGCGAATTTGGTAGTATATTAGAGCATCATGCTTTTAAGGCGACTAATTTATGAACCCAATTGTAAGCAGTATAATCTGTTCTTTAGAGATACATGCAATATTTATTGGTCGTTAATTTTTTTGGATCTATGATCTATTATTTGGTTTTCATTACGAAACGCATCATCCAGCTATTTCAACAAACTACTTAATTTCAGTTTATTTTTGTCGAAAATATTTATACTTTTTGTGGTGGTATCTTGTAAAAATAGAAATTTAATGGTATAAACGAAGAACAGTGACTGTTGGTAAAAAAATTATCAAACTGTCATGGCAACAGTAAATTTTGTCAAAATGTTATGTGGCATATTTCGCTATACTGTGTAGTGAAATATGTGTTTAAATAATTCGTTACAGTGTAGTAAAATATTTTACGTCAGAATCAAAAATGTCACGTGTCAAAAAGGGAGAATTTGGTTGTGACTCTTTGAATCTCTCTCATAAACAGTGTTGTCAAAAGTGACTCATTAACAAAATAATTAGGTTTTAGTAAGAAATTGCACAAAAGAACATATGTTACATAAAAGGGCAAATGTTAATCATGGTAGAAAAAACAAGATCAAATCCCAAAAATCGCCAGTGAGAAATTTATTGATAAACACATTAATCTATGAGAATACAAAAATAAATAAAAAAAGTCACCTTGTTTCTGAGTAATTATAAATATTAGTACTTGATAATGATTAATATGAAGGAACATTTGTTAATCTTAAGAGTTGCATCTGCTCTGCTTCCTATTTTTTCTGAAACAAATTTTGGAGTTTATTCTAAAAAAATTAAATTCAGTAAACAATAGCTAAAAATACTAAATGTTGAGGAATGCAAGTGTGAGGGGGTGAAATCCTAATTGATTAAGAATAGACTAAGTGAATATAATATAACCGGAAAGACTCATGCACCTAATGCCTTAAAGTTTTGAATTTAATTATAGTATTTCAAACTCACCTAATATTGTTGCTCACTTGCCCCATAATTAACCGTCTCTTCCCATCATAATCTCCCTCGTGCACAGCCCAGCACTAACAGTGCAACTAGTTCCTTGTTTTTTTCTCCCCTTTGAACACAATAGAATAAAAAAAATATTTATTATTTATACAGGCGAATCATATCAAGTTTTGATTATCTTTACATTTTGAAAATAAAAATTGATTTTGGACATGTGTTCGATTCCCGCTGAATGCATTCTTGGGGAGGGAGCTGAACCTTTAGCCATCACTGACCCCCGCACTCTGGATTAGTCCCATAGCCGACTCAAAGAGTCGAAGCTTGTAGGGATACCGGAGAGAGCCAACTCGCCTCAAAGAGATAATTAGGGTTGGATAACTCCAAAAAAAAAAAAAAAAAAAAAATTCCAAATAGGCTCTGTTCTTTTATAGAAATACGTATTTAGGAAGGGTAAAAAAAAAAAAAAAAAATTTTGCTCGAGAAAAAGCAAATCCAAAGACTCGCTCGCATTAACGTCTTTTCTGTATATTCTATGGGATGATTATTCTCAACGCTGATTGACTCAGCTGAATTGAATAATGTCGATTAAAAAAGTCTTCAATTAAATGTAGCTTACCTGTGGTAATTTTCTCTTCACTAAAACTTCTTCTCACCCAAATTTAATTATAAGAACAACACAATTTTGTATTCTTGCCTAAGATTTATAGATTTGTTTTTTCCAATGTCCAACACATTAACTTAATAACGTGACTATATCGATTCATGTTGCTACAATATGTAACTTGATCAAAACTTTGTAAATATAATCAATAAATTCATATTAATAAAACAGAAAATCAGAGTTGAGAATTACAGATTTACATGATAGTGATTCACATTTATATAGGGAAAACCTGCCTGTACTCAGAATGAACAATCCACATAAACCAAACTATGAAGTTGAATAAGGATACAGAACATGAAGGAAACAAGAAAAAAAAAAAAAAAAACAATAATCTCAATATTAAGTTATTAACCAACATTTTCTGTACTTGAAGCTAGTTAAACATAGAAGCATATCTCATCAAAACACTTCCATCCTTTGAAGAACTGGAGTTTTAATAACCTGGAGTATTTGCACCACTTCTGCCATAGTAGGCCTACTTGAAGGTATATGAGAGGTGCATACCATTGCTAGCTTCAGAACTGGTAACACCTCATCCTCTGGATACTCACTCATGCTTGGATCCACACATTCCAACACATTGCCATGCTCAAGCAACACCCTTACATGGTCATTTAGTATCAGCACATTGTCTTCTCCATATTCCACTGGCCTTCTACCTGTGACTAGCTCAAGGATCATCACCCCAAAACCATATATATCACATTTCTCATTGACCCTTAAGCTCTGGCATGTTAATTCTGGTGCCACATATCCTAATGCACTCTGAAACCTATTGCTCATCACATGCCTGTCCAGCTTTGTCAGAAGCCGGGCTAACCCGAAATCCGAGATCTTTGGGTTGCAATTCTCATCAAGTAAAATGTTGCTTGGCTTTATGTTGTAGTGAATGATTGGTGGACGGAATGAATGATGCAAATGGGCAAGACCCTTTGCTGTTCCAAGCAAAATTTTGAACCTATTAGCCCAAGAAAGAGGAGGACTTGAAGGAAGCCTATCATGTAGCTTGCTTTGCAGGTTACCATTTGGTGCATACTCAGATACTAAAAGCTGTAGTTGTGGAGTCCAGTAGTATCCTTTCAATGCTATTAGATTTGGGTGCCTTGCTTTCCCTAGGATTCTAACTTCCCTATCAAAGTCTTCTGGATATTGGATTATGTTTGAGATGATAAGCTTCTTGATTGCTACCATTCCACCTTGTGATCCCAATGTAACTTTGTAAACTGTTCCAAAAACTCCTTCTCCAATCTCAGATGCCTTGTTGAGAAGGGATTCTGGATTGCTGATCAAATCTGGTGAGTAATGGGAATCAAATAGAATAAGCTTTCCTGTGGCTGGACTTCCTGATCTAGAAGAGCTTGAACACATGCTTTCCAAAGCATTGTCCACAAATGATAGCCTTCTCCTTACAGAAACATTAAGTAGGCTAACAGCAATGACACCTAATATGATGACAAAGGATGCAGAAATTGCAATAATAGCAGAAACACTAAGGAACCTGTGGTGATGAATTTGGCTAGATGATGATTCATTTCTTTGCCTTTGAGGACCCATTTGGTTGTTATAGACATTTGGGTCAAGCACTAGGGGCTTGGGGACATTCATCTTACATGGACCCTTCAGCAAGGGCGAGCAAAGACCCAGGTTTCCTTCCAAGGAACTTTTGTCCAAGTTCTGAAATATACTACTAGTAGGAAGCCTTCCTGTGAGCCTGTTATATGATATATTCACTGCAAGAAGATTTTGAAGCATTCCAAGCTCCATTGGTATCTCTCCACTTAGTTCATTGAATTCCAATTTGAGTATTTTGAGCTTGTTTAGCTTTGACATGGACTTTGGGATTGAACCACTCAAATTATTGTGAGACAAACTCCTGCATAGAAATAGATAGGAATTAGTATCTTTCAAAAACATGGATACCAAATGATACTAGAGCTTGAGAAATAGGAGACATACAGCAAATAGAGAGATGTACAATTCCCAATCTCTTCTGGAATGGACCCCTTCAATGAATTTCCATCCAGTTGAAGGACGGCCAAATTGCCTGAATCACATATATCTGCTGGAACCGAACCATACAAGGCACTGTTACGAAGATCTAAAACTGTTAGATTCTGAAGGAGACCAAATTCTGGTGGCATCTGTGAATGAAGATCATTCCAAGACAAATTCAAGTATCTAAGTTTTGAAAGAAGACCCATTTCTGCAGGGATATTTCCCTGGAGATGGTTCTCTGAAAGGTCCAAATTGGTGAGAGTTTCTAAGAGCCTTCTTGAGCCTGATGGGATTGAACCTATCAGATAATTGTGGGAAAAGTCTATTTCCTCCAATCCAAGGCCAAACAAACCCTCTGGTATGGTACCATTGAAACCATTACCTCTGAGCCTGATCACTGATAACTTTGTGCAGGAAACCAATGACAATGGAATATTTCCAACAAGCTTGTTGTTTGAAATGCTCATATAAGTCAGTGATCTCAGTTCCCCTATTGATTGTGGGATGCTTCCAGTGAACTGGTTGTTTGAGAGCTCTAGGTATTCCAGATTAGTCATGTTACCAATCCATTGAGGCAATTCACTACTGAAAAGATTATTTGATGCCTTGAAATAGCTCAAAGAATTAAGCCTCCCAAGTGATTCTGGTAGTTCTCCACTGAACTGATTATCACTAAAATCCAACCTATTCAAATGCAGACAGAATCCAATATCAGTAGGTAATGGACCTGAAAACTGGTTATCCTGGAACAAGATCTCTTTCAAGTTATGTATGGCTGAAATTCCATTAGGTAAATACCCAGAGAAGGCATTTTTGGAAAGATCCAAATTCCTAAGCCTGTTTAATGACCAAATCCCAGTAAAATCCACATTACCAGAGAAACGATTATTGGAAAGATTGAGGTTATTCAATGAGGAACATCTAGATAGTGTGCTAGGGACTGGTCCTTCAAACATATTCCGAGCTAAAGAAAGGTGATGAAGGGAAAAACAGCTCTGAAAAAAATTGTCAGGGATTGTTCCTGAGAATGAATTCTCTGAAAGATCAAGAAATCTTATTGAACTCATATTCACAAAAGAAGTAGGTATGGGACCAGAAAGACCATTGTGACTAAGGTTAAGCCTTTCAAGACTATTAGAAAGAGTAAGTGATGGACTAATGCTCCCATTCAAGTTGTTATGAGAAAGTGACAATACCGTTAGATGTTGCAACTTCTCAAGACCTCTTCCTATCTTCCCAGATAACCCCAAACCATCCAATGAGACCTCTGAAACTCTTCCACTCTCAGGATTGCATCGTACAAACTGCCATGAACATGGATTGACATCATCTTCATTCCATGAAGCAAGATAAGAAGAAGGGTCATGAAGGTCTGATTTAAACACAATCAGGCCAAGAACATCATCATTCAACTGGGCAGGTATGTCATTGTTTCCCAAGCAAGATAGCAAATGAGAAACTGAAATCAGCAAAGTCAAAACTGTCCAGTGAAACTGAAAACTTCTCATTCTTCTTCTTCT